CTGTCGCCACCTGTGCACTAATAAATGCAACTCTTATGCAGAGTAAAGGCAAAGGACTGTCTATGAAACTATCCTTTACGTGCAAATATCCAGCAAGTTTTGATTTTTTTAACACACTTTTCAATAAAAGAGTGCACCTATTTAGCTTTCACATGTCATCTTGAAGGAATCTGACGGCACTTTGCAAGCCAGAGAATCTCTGAAAAAAGTATGCTACTGATCGGTATTCAGTAACACGTGTTTATTACTGGTGCCCACAATTGCACTACAAACATGCCATGTGTGGACTGCCATCAGGGTAATTGTTCTCTGTTCATGATGCCTATCCCCACTTCATTATGCCTCCTCGAAAGTCTCCAACAAAAGGATAGATAAGTTCCAGTGTTTTGTCGACATAGTCACGATTTCTCCATCTGAAAGAGGGGCATTCGAAATCCATCGTACCCTCCCATCTTCGAAATTTTATTGTATAAATTCGCAGCGGATCCATCCAGAACTACAATCACACACTGTTTCAATTTTGTCCAAATAATTACCCATTCGGACAGCATTCCTCCTATCGTAGCGAGTGATCTGAATAGATCAGACTCACTTTCTAACCTTCTGTAGAATGTTCATTTCCTCACCTCCATTGTATGTTAATTAATAAAACTGACACTTTAGTTGCACGTACGTTCACCAGAATTGGTTCAGCTGATAAATTCAGTTCACTGATAACAATGCCTAATTCCAAACACTCCTCAGTTTTCCGTTATCTCCATCCTACAGTACAGTGTGAACATTTGACTAGCTGTGGTAACTTATGTTTCAACAGATATTGTCCCGTTCCAACAGTCCACCTCAAACCAGACAGATTTCCCGACCTCCTTGCTGAGGCACTTCCGGTTCAAGAATGAAGTGGCAGTCAAGTTGGGCAAAGCCCGGAAGTTGGGTGCTAACTGGTGAGTTGGAGACTCGAATCAGTCGGCTGAATTGGATTTAGGTCGGAACTCGTCATGGTAACCAAAATTGTTGTGATCTTCAGAGAGCTCAGTAATAACTCTGGACCACGACTTAAAGGTGTGTCCAGATGGCTCTGATGCAGAAGACCACAATCAAAAGCCTAACACATTCATCAGCATTTTTGAATGCTCTAGCAACATAAAAGCAAAACTGACTCCGTTCGCACTTCAACAACAAATACTGTGCAGGAAATAGGGCGGCAACCGGAACCAAGAAAATCTTTCGGTCCGGATCTTGCGGAAAGCCCCGCTGACCTCGTTACAGCTCTTTCCATTAGAGAAAACACCCCTAGTTGTACCAAAACAGCCAAGGTAACTTTTATTTCTGGATAATAGGCCTTGCACCACTAACCCGTTGTCTATGTTTCCATACTTCAAAGTACAGTCTTATCGAGGCCAAGGTGCAACCAGTCCGCTGAAGACACATGACAAATATCTTAATTCAAAACTGGATAACACTACATGAGTTCTGCATTCAGATAAATAGACCACAATAGTACTTCTACTATTATTCGGTTATGCGACAATATATTGAACTACCAATAATTCGAGTGTGTTAACTCGTCCTGTCACGTCAAGGCTCGCGGACAGGCAAAAGTCTCTCATTACATAAGTGACATTGACATCACCAATCCCGAGCCGTTGTTATGGCTACTCGACGGGCAATAATTGACAATGCTTGCGCCTGATTATTGTGCTAACCAAACCCAGTTCCAGATATATAAACGCTCTCATCACTACCAACTTAGACAGGCGCTTCATGAGGAACTAAATTTTTCCATTCTTCTGTGCCCTGTACACTCGATTCTTCCTACCGACGTAACTGTGCTGATAACATTCTGATTGATCGTCAAAGTTAGGAAGTCCGAAAGGAACCACAAACCAGATCGAATGAACTTAGTGGATGTTCCCCAAAAAGCTCCCTTCTTTCTGTTTCAAAATGCGAAGATGTTAATAACTCCTTCCCCTCAGGTAATCGTGTTCAGCATCTTGTTTTTAGGCTTATGGTTCACCGCGTCTGTCTTCCGACGTCCACCGACGTGGACTGGAGCTACTATCAACCCAACTAGTCACTTCACACTCAAGCGGTTTTCATTACTGTCAAACTTAGAGCACTATCCTCTAGATGTTAAGCACGGATTTGTTATTGTATGTGACAGTCCCCACTGATTTCACTATTTCCCGGGCCTTTTGATGAAGGATCAACATCTCCAGATGGGGCGAGATCGCCAAGACTGTCATAATTAGCTGTTTGGTGAGCAATCACTTAGCTTCACCAGAAAGTACTACTGGAAGATCAACATCCTCTTCCCCCAGGTTTATCCCAAACCACATTAGCATCCTGTAGACAGTACAAACGTCTACCCATGTACCGTAATTCTGTGACTTCCCCCCTGTCTTGGTGTGTTGCTGACACTGACTCATGGTGTGGTTCGTTCTTAACAAGTCTTCTGATTTGCGTTCATTCTTTACGGGTTTTATGGCTACTTTATATCTGATGCGAGATTTTGCCTCGAAAATTCACCTTTGCAGGCACACAAAGCTTTTTTAAATTGACCTGACTATGGATAATGATGCATTTCGTCTCTTTCACTGTATCCGTAAGATTGGTAAAACTCATCATGAAAGTTCACTGATTTAGAATACTGTCTTTTAAATCGTTGACACATCAGTGGACCGATATCCTAGAGATGCGTTTCAAGAGTTGGAAACTATGTCAATTAATCAGGTGGCTGTTGATCTGTAAGTGAGCTCGGCAACCGAGTCGCAGCTCGGTGAACAGATCAAAAGCCAATAAACGCGCCGAAGATACCAACATTCTAAAGCATTAGCAACTGAAAGATACTCAGCCAAAGTGAGAGCGCCAAAAGGATCAACCCAGACAGAACTTTCGGTCCTGATGTGGATGATCCAGTGAGATTGTATCAAATGAGAAGCTAGACTGGTTGATTTCGCTCATCACCCTGTAGCACACAGAATATGAATCTTTATGAAAGCGTTCTGAATGAGTACAAAGACAGCTTGTTCATCAGGTCCTCAAACAGACATGCTGGTGATAACACTGAGACGACCAAGGCCTTTAGCCTAGCTGAATACTTTTAATTATGACAATGATAATCCCTTGAAATCTTTCATTAATGATCGTCTTCCATATTGTATTAAATACTGGAAACATTTACAGTGAGTATATATGGAACAGGTTGGCAATCCGAAAACACTGGTAACGAAGCATAGAAATCCTTACCATTCAACTAAGAAGTGTTGGTAAGTGCGGTCTTCCCAGATGGGGACCGCGGGTTAACACAAACCAACGCGAAGTGACGTTGACAGATATAGCTGTCACGCAGCGTGTGGCGGTGGTTTATCGAAGCGGCCACGTTCACTACTTAGCTCCTGATCCCTGCCACCCCGAACAAGCAGAACCATTCAGGGTCAATGAATTGACTGGAACACCGCCTCCAAAGCGGGACTCTCATTCCCTCAATCTCCTAACTTCGGTGAAGGAAGCTGTAGTACCTGGAAACACTGCACTTCGATACATGGTTTGTGAGCTGAGAAAATGAACTGGATCGAATTGAAACTAGTTAGTTTTCCTAGAGTCTAACCCCCACACACACAGCAAACCCGTCTGTTTCGTAGCAGCTCCATTTGCTGGATCCTGTGTTGGTCTCCAGACCATGCTGTTCACTGAAATATCGATGCTCCTCATCTATCACTTGAATTCTTACTCGATGCGTTTGCACTGCCCATTTTATAGAGTCTTCGTCTGCAGAAAGGAAACTAAAACTGAGCTCTCATCACTTTAACGAACCTGAACAATCAAGACGCACTCATCGATCGACCCAACGCCTAGGCGTCGCACATAACCTCATTTTGTTTGATTTCTTTTTAGCGCACAAGGGTAACATGATTGATTGCCTCACAGTACCCTGACTGGCTCATCTTAGTTGTCTACTAAGGATTATCCACGGCCAGTTTGCCATGCTTCCACGTTTTGCCCTGTGTAAATTTCCTCGACAGAGTCATTTTGTAAAATATTTTCCATACTGACAAGAACTATAACACAAGAATGCTATTCATTCCATCGCAGTTAAATTGTAGGTTTTTAGCCAGCAACGAGGAAACTTAGGCCCATCTTGAATTGAACCCACCAGATTCCACTTGGGATGCGATAAAACACCGTTTAAGTGATCCACTTTGAGCGATGATTGGTATCCTGTCTGACCGGATCGCTTTTATCAAATAATTCTGGATTACCATTGAGGTTGTCGTCTTTAGGTTCAACTATATACACACCACCGCACGAGGTCAACATACTTCTCCGTGCTCTTGGTGCGACAGCAGATGCCTGCCTCTGGACAGACCAGGGAAAAAGTGTACTTGCACTCTTGGCCCTCACATCTCACTCGCGATTGGTAGGCAACGCCAGTACAACGCACTAATGGTTGGTTGCAGCAGGTCGGAGAAAGAAAACAGCGTTCAGAAGTTGGGCCTTGTGTGGGAGGAGTAGGGGGAGGACTACCCGACACACAAAAGTCACACCGGATAGCGGACGTGTAGCGGTCACCCACTAGATCACCCGTCACAAACATTCAAATCACGTAACAATTTCTGTCCCACTTGTAACCTTAGTCGACAACATGTACACTACAATTTCCCATCCAATTTTTGTTTACGCGGCCACCACCTGCGTCAGGCGCGCCAGGCTTACGAACTTCAACCACATCAGGTCAAGTTGTATTCATGTTCGTGTAGTTGTCAAACACGAATGGACCCCTCTCTCTCTACACTGCACACATGCATGCGACTTGGTCTAAAAACGCTCGCGCGCACAGGACAGGATGTCAACCGAGCTCCACAAGCCCCACGAACAACTACGGAACACGTGTAGCAGTCATACTGCAGAGAAGGCACATATCGAGTCCGAACATTTGTCCTCAAGCAACGAGGAACACCAACATCAGATGTAATTCCCGTGAATTTGATAAATCCCGCAACCAGCTGCAACTAATCAAAAGTGTCCGTAGGACTACCTGACTGGGAAGTCCTGATAGGCACATCAATCGGTCGACACGACAAGGACGGTTGCTGGGTCGTTATCTGAGGCGTCGAGCAAACTAATCACACCGTACACAAGTGTAAATCTTTACATGTCCAGCTTGGGCTGCGAACAACTAGGAACACGTGTAGCAGTCATACTGCAGAGAAGGCACATATCGAGTCCGAACATTTGTCCTCAAGCAATGAGGAACACCAACATCAGATGTAATTCCCGTGAATTTGATAAATCCCGCAACCAGCTGCAACTAATCAAAAGTGTCCGTAGGACTACCTGACTGGGAAGTCCTGATAGGCACATCAATCGGTCGACACGACAAGGACGGTTGCTGGGTCGTTATCTGAGGCGTCGAGCAAACTAATCACACCGTACACAAGTGTAAATCTTTACATGTCCAGCTTGGGCTGGTAGAGTAGTCCTAACACTCTCGCCTCGCAAGTTAGATGTCCGAAGTGCAAGCTCCGGCATAGCCAAGCATTATGCACTGCTAATGAGTTCTACTAAGAACAACACTCGAATCCATTGATTGCCCTTTTGGCCTGGACACATCGAAATGATTACATCAGGACAGACGGAGCGTGATAAGACAATGGCAGGCAGCTTTGTTTACTAATATGCCAAGGATTTTAGTTGAGCCTGACATCAATATCCAAGGTAAATTTACTGCAGTCGCTTGTTTGAAAAATGCTTACCCCTTCAATGCAACGCATACAGACAAAGCGCCCAACGCAAATGGTGACAGTAACTACATTGTAGATGTGAGCGCGGCTGACATATCTGGAAATAAGTATTACAATGTCTGTCCCAGGTGTGATCAACAGAAGTGTATGAAGATCATTCTGTCTCATGTAACGTTCAGATTTTCATGAACCGAGGCTGAGTTGGAGCAGATCATAGTGTACCGGATCTCGCATACAGCGGACACCATTTTACGATTTAACCGAACCGTGTAATCCGTGTTGCTTACGCTCCTGAGTAGCTGATCACCTTTGGGTGCTTAGGTACATTGACAACTGATAAACGATAGGATGAACAGCATCTGAGTATCCTTCTGTTATACCATGGCTAGTGGGAGACACCATTATATGAATTCCACTAGTCGGTGGATGCTTCAGTGGTAGCTGAATTTTGTTCAGGAAATTGTTTGCTGAGTGGTTTCCCTACTGGTCGGCTAAACAACGGTGCCATTATAATGGTTGACCAAAAACATTTGCCAACGTGAAAAGCAATGGAATGCTGGCACGGAAAAGAGCATTGCAACTCAAATTATTCAGTAAACAATTCCAGTGGTGCTCCTTACCGCAGAAAGCCGACATGTGTAGCTTACCTTACTGAGTCGCAAACAACGTATCCACGGGCGGGAATCAGACTGTCCCGTTCCAGCCGGATTTCGCCTAACAAAAATGAGACCTTTGGAAACCAGAGGTCGGAGAAATTCGCTCAAACCACTGGGTGTTCCCGTGAGAACAGCATCCGAGGCATAACCGTCTGGAGGAAGTAAAAGAGGTAGTGGGAGATCCTTCATCTCGGACAACTGCAGTTCCGGTATCGAGAGGTCTTGTTGACTGGCCCTTAAGTAATGGTCCATTTCGTCCAGGATCGCTCGATCGTTCACCTGAAATGATGGAATGTACACCACCAAATTCATTGCTTTTGAAGTATGGTACAGCTTTCCTCAAAAAGGGAGGGAACGTCTGTAACCAATAACTAATGTATTTAAAGAAATATCTGTTTTGAACAGAGGAAGTGCGCGCATAGCACTATGATGTCATGCGCCTTTCTTGTAAACCCTCCAGGGGAGCTCAAGCATCGTAAAATAACCACTCTCCAAGAACACGGACATAATCCAGCTTCTGTTTAGTTTCTATCGCGCAGTAAGTAAACGACTGCAGTCTTTTTTCGGAAAGCAACTGGTTGCTAGGGCTGAAGTTGAGTCTCCTGTTGAAACCAAACTGGCATGCTTATGACGATAGCTGTCTAAATCTGTCCAATCTGGGTTCACGGGTAAAATAAGTCCAAAGGAAATTCTGGAACTGTGCCACAAGAAGGCCGCACCAATCGTGAGTGATGTCGAAGAGGTTTCAGTAACCTTATGAGTAGTGTATTTCGTTTAGAAGATTAGTTCTACCTATTCATTACACTGACTGGGCAAAATATCCAACTACTGAGCCTTAGCACGGTGGCTTGATGCAAAACAGAAACAAAACGTTCAAAAACAGACCTCTTTCACTCCGGTCACAATCAAATCAATCCAGTCATCAGGTACCGGCGGTGGATCACCCAAATGAGCTAACAACCATTCCAGTTGAATACTGTTCAGCGATAGAAGCCCCATGCAGAACTGATAGAAATCATCCAAATTTGAGCGGTCCGCTTGGATAAGTTGACAAGCCTAGAGAAAAAGGGAGAGAGATAGGTGAATATATGTTGGTCTTTGTGGGTACTACGTATTTTAAGCGAAAATTTACGAAGCATATTGAACGAATGAAGGTAGACACCTCACCTGAACACAACGTTGAAGTCGACACTCAGCAGCGCGTTCCAGACCGAATCGCTGTGCCCAGTGCTTGATACGTTCTAGTCTTCGCATCAGACGAACGGCCCCTAAACGTGTGAGCCATATATTCTGCTCATCACGTGCGTGGCGTGGTCTAGCTTCAGTGTTGATCAGAGCGTGATTGAAGATATAGGCATTCAGTGTATGAAAGAGTTGAGCGAACAGCTGTATGGTAAGGGAAGCGTTGACGCGAGTTCGACGAAGCAGATGCATCAGCCAACTAAGGAATTGCATAAGGGTTTGCAGTTTAACCGGATCTCTCGAGTGACCAGAGATCTGCTGTGGATTGATCGGTCTGTCGTCTAGACGAAGATCTTCCTATAAATGGGGAAACGTAGCAAGTGAACTGGAATGTTTGGAACGGTTCTACAAACATTTCAACAGATCACACCATCGGACACGGAAACTTTCCAATCACTTTCAGTCCAACACCGAGGAAAGTTCATAACCAACGATGACGAAAGTCGAACCCTACTGCGTCCTATCAGAGAATTGGACACTAGAACGAGGCTGCTCCAATCGAATCAATTAATCCAACAAGCCGAAATCCAATAAACGCTAGACAGTGCCTTGATTAACATCGTTACAAAGGATATGCACACGTAGCCCATTCGGCGCATGGTTTGACATAGCTTAATCGATCTAAGAGTAAATCCCACTCGAATGCTATTCACATTCACGAGATTCTACTCGAAGCGGGGTCATTCATCTAGTGGTTATTACCGAAAACTGGGAGATATGGTATCACGATGAACGTTTTGCAATGATTTCTGGGCTTTTCCATCGAGGAATGCATACTAAGACGTCCCACATGTTCACATGTCTATTTACTCGTAAGATCAAAGGTCGCTTCAAAGGACTACACAGATTGGTACCAGGCAGCAGGATACAATATGTGAGAACTAGGAACCTTCATCTGATTATCACAAGGGATCTTTGAACCAAACATTGCATCATTATGGTGGGGTGATAACGTTTCACACATTCTTTACAAACGTAGAGTACACAAAAAGAGTCTATAGTTCTCCCACTGAAGCCAAGACGACGTCCCGGTTAGCCTTGCGTTTTCTTCGGTATACAGCACCATTTTTTGCAAGTTTATCGTTGGAGCCTTGAGTGGTTTTGTCCGATAACGAGTTTCATAGTACTTACTCCCATTTTGAGTATATGTTGCACCCTTAAGTTGGCTACCATTTGTGGTTCAGCGGCTGCACACCAATGCTACACGATGAAACTATCTTTCCCAGCAGCCTTTCGAATAGAAGACCTACGCAGTTTATAGGACCATACATCCTTACTTAGTAGACTGTTTGCTGAATCTGGATATCGAGATATCTTTTAAACCTAAATCGAGATTCCATCTGCCAAATGAATACTTTCTACCGGTAATTAAACTAATATACTGTCTGGCTTCAAGAAGGAACATTCAGGAAATAAGTGTTGGACTCCTACAAGGGACCCCCCGTCAGGAGCTTGCGGTTTAACTTCTACGCTGCCCTCCTCACTTGCTGGCACTCTGCATTGCAAGAAGTCATTACTCAAAAGTCAGTGTGAATTATATCAACAGGAAGCCCACCTGTAGGTCAGAGTCTCCGGGATAGGTTAGACAATGAAACATTGGTTGTAGTATACTGGTCACACAGGTCCGTAACTCATAAAAACAGTGATCCACCGCATCGGCAAGAAGATGTAAGGCTTGCCGACAGGCATGAATTGGAGATCGGGGTCGGGAGGGCTGTGATTTGTCCCACGGGGAACACAGACTGACGTCGTTTTTGAAAAATTGTAGTAGCTCACTACTATTTGCTAACCAGTAGACGAACGGTTGAATGAGGCTCATGTGGTCTGCAGGACCGCGCGTTGTGCTTGGCAAAGACTAGATGAGAAGTGGTGCGAGAGAGAGAGAGAACAAGATGAATGCAATCGTTCAAATTGGACTTATCAGGGTAACTGGGAAAATAGATAAGAATGAGTATGGCGAAAAAACTGCACAGAGCTGTACTTTTGAGTCAGACTCCTGTGGTAAAAAAATCCAACACAAGAATGGATCACAGGGACAGTGATCAACTGTTCTCCGTGAGCATCTAATTGAAAACAATGGACGAATGTTCAGAGTAGTTTGGTGAACCTATGATGAAGCCGTTACATTAAATCTAGTCTGTGTTTTCAGCACCCAAGCGTTGTTCCATGAATCAGAACAGACCCATTTTAATGGGGGACCACTATGTCAAAATAATCTTGTACTGCTAGCTACCTCCGTGTAGGATCCGTATGAACACAGATGGGTGAACACAATAGGCATTCTAACTGAACATCTGGAGGGTGAAAATCCTGTCAAAAGTGCCGGTCTAGTAAAAGAACAGTGCTCAGAACAGTGATCAACTGACCGGTTACTCGGTTCGTGTACGTTCATGGCGGTTTTTTCGTCAATCAAACAAAGCTTGCAGTAGCAACTTTCTGAAGACAAGAGAAGGACAAAACTGAAAATGGGCTGTTCTGGGTAAGCTTACGTAAGTGGGGAAAAACCCCTAAACCAAACAGACATCTGATACGGGGGTTGATCTCACTCCAAAACGGATCTCCACTGATTCGTTACAAATGCAAATGACCTAACCAAGTAGGTATAGAGTAGATAAAAACTAATCTGTCAACCTACTTCATACACACGTGTCGCGATGTAGTTTGTGATGTAGGACACATTGTGCTCCTTTTCGGCCGGAACTAAGTCAGGTAGAGACTCCATGTGTTTCTCACAAGCTCGATAGACCAAGTAGAGCGCGTAAGCTGGGGAAAGACTGAATAGTGCAGGGCGATTCTCATCCTTTGTTCGATGCGTTAGAGTGTGTAAGTCAGAGCCCACTGCGTTGAGGATTTCATCCACAATCTGGGTATAGTGTTCGAGAAAATATTCTCTGTCTATCCTATCGAGGTCTTGTAGCTCGATTGTCAGGGGAAGCTCGCCGGCTGCGGACATTGACGTCTTTCGGAGACGGACATGTGAATCAGGCTCGTTTGTCTGAAAAAGAACGGGGTCATTTAGAGCACAACCATTGTGAATCCCAACTAATTGTTCTTAAACTACCCGATATACCCGAGCAGCTGGTTCCATTAAGATGGATTAGGCTTAGGTGATCCGATAAGGTGCAGCTCTTCCAGGATAGCACCGGAAGTATTTTTCGCTCGACCAAGGTATCATGTTAGCTAGCCAATGATGATTTAGGTTGCTGAACCTGGAAAGGAATCACAACCATTCTCAACTTCAGATCAAACTTGAGCTAAATTTTATTTGGATGTGGTTATTTAAAACTGGAGCTTATGTCCGGTTATTAAGGAAAGTCTGTCAGCTCTTCTCGTGTGGATAATCATAATCCAAGTAGGCGTGGACTTCGTGAAGAGGCCCATGAAATTGTAGAAGCTACTATCAGTGAAAGAAGGAAAGCCATTCGCGGCAAAGCCGTTTACCAGCAAACACTAATTAGGCAGTTTCACGTCATTATACAGGTAGGTAAACATCCCATATATACATAATCGTAAAACTGGGCAGCATTCTCTTGAACCTTCCTGAATATTCATTGCCTATTACACAATATTAAACGGACACTGCAAACCAGTTCCACAATTTCCGCCATAAACTTCATCTTCCATCGAATGCGGGGGCGGAGCTTTTACATAAACCACAGGCTACTCACATGCCTCATCAGTAGTATCCACCGTTACACCAGTGTTGGTTCCGGCTTCTGGATTTACGTGAAACAGACAGAACAAAACCCTGGTAGAGCGGATGAAAATCCAGGCCTCACTCATGCTCAAAGACTATAAGCTGTCTCAGAACTTGGGAAATCTACTCTGAAAGGACACCAGTGTGGTTCCGGCTTCTGGATTTACGTGAAACAGACAGAACAAAACCCTGGTAGAGCGGATGAAAATCCAGGCCTCACTCATGCTCAAAGACTATAAGCTGTCTCAGAACTTGGGAAATCTACTCTGAAAGGAAAGTACATCATACTTTGCAGCTTCGTAGTTGTGATTCAAGGAGCGAGCCAGCATTGGAGCACGTGAGGTGATCCACGGCTAGTGGGGCCACATCCATTCTAACCGCGGAAAACGAATCAGGAGGTGACCACCTATTTGGTATTGGATTACAGAATGTTTGAAATCCCATCCTACCTCTCGAGAAATTCGTGAAGTAAAACTGGTGACATTACCTAACTAGCATGAGGAAATTTTTAGTGCCTCATGGCCACTCAACACAGACTAGCTTCACCTTCAGTATTACAGCCGTATCTCAATTATGCAATGCTACATGAGCTCTTCCTGTTGCAGAAACCCCAAACTCATGACTAATGTGAAAAGTAACAGTTGCTGACGATGACAAGGGGAGCAGCATGAATCAAGAACAGTGACTGGATATGTATGTACAGTTTATAAACGATATAGACATTACTTTTCCACACAATCACCTGGGTAAAAACGTGTGAAGAACATGAGGCTCAACAGGCTATCTCAGCGAACGACGGAAAACAGTATTTGAATCGATGTGGGGCAGTCGTTATTTGGAGGCCCTTCATCAGTCATCTAGAGTCAACCACCCTAGAGCGCGTCCCCCTAAAACGACCATCCTTCCATACTAAGTCATCTTGATCCTAGTAATGAAACTACACTAATGCCCTAAAAAACCAGGTCCACTTTTTCCAACCGACTGCCTCACGTCACTGTTTACAAGTATTACTAATCCACAGTCCATGGGGAAAGTGAGCGCCACAGCAATGCACATTTTACTACACGGATAGACAAAGCTGGTAAGACCATCTTTAGCCTCTACGAAACGACCGCCTTTAACCGGTTCCATCAACGGAATTTCGTCTGCGTATAAAAACTTTTAGATGACGGCTAATTGTGCAGGTATACCAAAAAAGTGGTTGAACCAAGGGACTCTATCATGCAGCTGGGGGTGCTTCATTCATTTCACTTCGTAACATCTTCAGGGTGTCATTACCCTCTGTCTTTCGGGAACTTGCGAACTAGAAAACAATAGACAAGGCATACAAAGTATACACTGCTGTGAGGCTGACTTTAATTCCAGGATTTGGCAGTTCAAACATCATCGAAACTGGAACCAGTTTCCTCCTCAATTATCAGTCAGAAAATACATTACTGCCCCGTTGCGTAGTCATGCATAGTCAGAGCAGCTCAAAAATGCGAGCAAGTATTGCATGATCGTCATGCTCTAACAATGAACAAGCTGGACGACAAGAAATCGGGAGCCTTGTAAAAATGCATACACTTCGGTTTTTACTGACGCATATATCCTGTTTCCTTCTGGGAGAGCTGGCGACCCCCCGGGTCCACTTTCGTTATTCGGACACTAAGTAAAAACCTATTGGAGAAGCTCTGGAACAACTCTAGTACGACCTTCAAAATAAAACCTGAGTCAGCCAAAAAGCATGGATCTGCGCCGGAAATCATCCGGAAAGATGAGGGAGGCGTGAAAGAAAACCCATTTTAAAAACTTGCATTTTGGTGCTTGGAGAACAGAGATAACAGATAACAGAGAACAGAGAGAACAGACATAGGATCGATGGGATCATATCTATATGTACAAGGATATAACGTCGAAATTCATAGTCGCATTAGAGAGATAGTCACGCAATCGATGGATTCAAGACAAAAGTATCGGCCAAGTCATGGGTGGCAAAACCGACGACAACGACAAGTGTGCACACGACGCCAGTCTTTGGCGTCTGTGTCAGTTTCTTTTCAATAGTTATGACTAGCGAGAAAATCTGTGACTCTAACGGAAATCGGTCTGACCAACGCCTCCCGTGTGATATCCCCAACGTTGGAAAGCGATTTCAGTTGCACTCCACTTCCTAACGTCCAGGTCATTTAAGTGGTCCTCGTCTGATTGATTTTTTGTGCTCAAATGAAAAATACATCAATGTGTGGGTCGAGAAAGCTTGGCTGAGTGCACTGAATTTAGAGCGATGTTTTGTGCTTCAATCATCACTGCTCCTGTACTACGGTAATTGTCCTCGAGTTTTGCGCGTCCACTTATTAGATGAGTGTCTAAAAGTACAGCTAGAGTTCACAGAAAGTCGGATTGGAAGGGCAGTCAGTAAAGTGCTGCTAAATCGCGATAGTTAGACTGAGAACAGACAAATAGACCCATAGTGACTAGAAAACACTACAGCTTATGCTGGATAATTTGTGTAAGTCGTTAAACCTTCAATTGATAGATTGTTTGCCAAAGTAGAGCCAATCTCGCTTTTTAGTATCGCATCCAACTTCACTTTCCACAGCCGTACAACCGCTTGTGGTTTTGGTCAGATGTTCCAAACGAATAAGGGCAGCCCTCGGTTACAAATGCCACGGTAACAACAGAATTGATGTTGGTGATGATTACACTGTTGTCGCTTAAATGGCTCCCACCTCCCAGAAACGCCACTGTTTGTGAAGAGATATAGTGAACTATGTGTGATACCAGACCTCAGCACTGCCTCCATCGAATTCTCTAAGAAGTCACCAATTCTCACCGTTTTTATTTGGGATGACTACAGATGATCTTCGTTCGACTGGTACCATACTCTGTAGAAGATAGCATATGTCACTAGGCTAGCAAACTCTAGTCCTTGGCCAAACACTACTTACAAACTTGCCGAAAACTCTTCGACAGCCCCTCGAGTTTCGTCAGATAGGCTTGGTTTCCACCAAATCTCTGTCCCACTTGAACCCCAAACACACTCATTTGCAAATCAACTTGATGTTGTTGAGGGATCAAAATGAAATTCATATCAGTCCCTCAGTGATGATATTCTTCATCCGAATGTGCTACACAAAGACCATTTAATGTCTCAGTTGCTACAATGTTGAAGGTATCGCATTATACTTTCAGGAAGACAACTATTCATAGGTTTGCTAGAAACGTTTCAGGAGTCCACTACCGGTTTCAGCACTTTTCATGACCTTGGTGCAATTTATTCGGTTGAAGAACAGCCTAAACGAGAGAAACGGCAGAAACTTTGCCATGTCTCTGATCATTACTCATCCGGGTGCAAATGGGTGGATCGGCATTCAGTAAAAGAGGATTTTTACGACCTGTATATGTGTACACTCTAGAAAAATGTAGCGCCCGAAGTTTAGACCCGAAGTTTTCCCGGTAGATCTCTGCAGTGGACAAACGGAAAGACGATAGGCCCAAAACGGCACTGTCATGGGGCCAATGCGCTGAAAAACAGAGCTGCTTTCTCATCACACATGTTCCGTCTCACGCCAACGCAACTCACGGACAACCCACTTCGACAGCACATTTGCAAACCATTGTCTCGAGTGCGCGCTCGATTATGTGTGGGTTGCGAGACCATGTTCGAACCAATGTTTTTTGTGCATGTGTGGCGAGCTGAGTCAACTGATTAAGCAAGACTGTTAGAGCATCACGCGACGCTCAGTCTCCACGTGCGCTTGCGAAGCAATTCGGCGACAGCATAGAAACTAAGAGGCCACTTGACGTTCTCTGCGTAGATCTGTCGAACTCTCACATGACTACGTGAGATTGGTGCAGCATGGTTGTCATGGTAACAAACAGCGGTTGGGCGGACTAGCCGAGAACTGTGTGCGTTCGGATAAGCATCGTGACAGCGCTATGCCATAAATCACTGCTAACTTTGTTTTTTTCTTCTTCTGACAATCTCGAAGCTATCGTCCTATAAGGCAACCAGGCCTTCAGACACAAAGCAATATGAAATCTTGATCGCTTGTATGTACGCGGCAGTATTTTGAAGAGACAGCCCAGCAGCAAAGAAAAGTGCCTACAATTATGGTCGATTTAGTTAAACAACCTTGTGTCAATGGGGTCCAGGGGACTCTGGACATTCTTCAGTGGCAAGTAAAGTGGACACTTTAGACAGATAGATGCGGTTAGGCAAAGCACGAACCTGCGATCTCTCGCTAACCACGAGCCTTAACTGCCACGATAGCTGGCATTGTTTCGATTTGTTTTACAAAACAGTCCCATTACAATAGTTTCGTTTCAGACGAAACTCTTTTGATGCGATGCATCACACAGTCAGCGATTACCTAACAGTAACCCCAGAAGAAGGCAAATGCTGTTTCTGTGAGGCCCCGGATTTTTACGTTTTGGACACATCAGAATGAAGTGAAGGTGATCTATTACCACGTAAAGCTCATAATGGAAATCAGCGGTTTTCCCTCCATACAAGTGTTTCAAAAGCCAATCACTCTGGCTGACTTCAAACCACCAGTTGTTCTCTCGATATTCAGTACTGACAAACAGCACAAAAATGGTTCCGAGCCGTTATTCAGATTGATTCTGTGTATTTCTGTACTGGCGCATGACTGTTGCGGCGCAAAAAAGCTCGCTAGACAAGTAGTCTACCATAAGACACACAAGAAAGATCGTACTGCATAAGTGCCTGGTTAGACATAATCGGTCATTCAAGTGTCATCATCTACGTGCCAAGGATGCATTGGTTTAGATTAGCAGGCCAAACATGCAAGCCATCGGAACAAACGGGTCATAAACGATGGTATTTCGAATCTCCGTTGAGTAAACGTTTTTGTAAAGTTTTGCATTGAATTTTATGCAAAGCAAAGTGCACAAGATGTGCACATTGTAGGACCACTCCTGGCAGTGGTCAACCGGCGAGCATAGGGTTTATAATCCATTTCACTAATCTTACGATAATCAATATGATTTCGTTCACTTCTGAATCTAAAGACTTCAGATCAGTGTATGTTTGACTGGCAGATGGACGAGTAACAGCCCAAAATGACCATTCGTCAGAGCATTTCCCTGGGCAATTCACATTACTGACCTTAGTGCTTGATAGTCAGTAGCTGTTGTGATACCTAATTCGGCTCTTCAGTACTGTGGCTCAATTTTCGGCTGTTCCAGAGCCTAAGGGTCGCACTAGCCACACACCTGATCAATACTCACGGACGCCAATCACGTGCGTCTCAGTCGTGGTGCACACAAGCCCCCAAAATTAGGTAGCCCTCCACCATACTCAAATTCTGACGCACGGTCACGTGCACAAACGTCACTCACGGTCACGTTCCCCCAAAATCTGACACTAGCACTGAGACTTCGTGGGAACTTGGCTTGCTACAATCCGAAGAGCTTCTTCTTGAAATGCCGAGGGAGTCCGTAATATGTGCAATCAAAATGAAGAACTAAGGGGAATAAAAATGGAGGCTTTTCTAGAGTTTCATTCTGCAACTAAGGCAACCACACCATTCCCATCGTTCGAAATCGATTTTTGGACGAAAGTGTCTCCTATACAGCTGTGTGCAAAATCAGGATTGTTTTACTTAATTGTTTTAATATTACTGATAGAATATTGCATACAGACACATGAAGATTAGGCCTCAGTACTGATATGCAAAAAATATACCCTACTATTGAAAAGAAGAAGGCCTTCGCTGCGGAGTTGTTTATCAGAAAATGTCAACTGACCAGTTACAGATCATTGGATGGGGAAGCAAAACTCTCATTTGCATCTTATTTACAGAAACTGGACACCCATCTTCTCTCGGACGCGTTTTCTTGAACTTTCCTGGATATTCAGTGACTCCAATCATTCACTGATCAAATCCAAGCAAATGTTACAAAGCGGCTTCACAAATTCCGCAACAGATCTTCCCTTTTCAAGAGACGCGAAGCGAAATTCCAAGGACAAATAATGCTACTCGCATGCCTCCTCATCAGTAGTATCACCGCTACACTACGACAAACTGCGGTCAGATTTAGCCGCAGTTTCTATTGGCTAAGCATCATCTGGCCACCATCATCATCATTAACGTCGATGAGAGTAATACAACAGTGGAAACTACTGGGGCATAGCTGCCATACAATCATGAAGAAGGATACACAGGTGACAAGTCTGTTCGCACGTTGCGATTCTGCAACTTATGAACCTAACGGCCAGGTAACGCAGTACTAGGTGGGGTCTGGTTATCGCATGACATCGCTGTGATCCCGCAGGGTTGTTTATCCAGTCACAAAGGACTTGCAAGCAAGCCATCGATCACCGGTGGGGAGCCGTCTAGTGTATTGTCCGAATGAGTCATTCCGGCTTGGATGGCCAGATAAGCTGTAGATCTTCATTGTGTGTGATTGCAAGGGTGTTCCAGGCAATTTCGCTACTGTGTGGTCACATTTATATCCAGTGGGGGGACGCGTTCTCCGATCCTTCACTGGAGTGGGAGAACTAGCCGTTGTTCACGCGTGTCCGAACGAAGAGAGGCGGAGCAGACTGCCTCTTCCTCACCAATTAGTGGAGCCACTAACTACAAGTCCCTGGATAGACGATATCGCCCTCCGATGTTTTCTTTAAGCCACAAAAGTAACTTAGATTTTGCACACTACTTGTTATGCAGCAAGGAGGTAGTTTTCTTGGATTTTTTTGTGCAATCAATGGCTGTGAGGTTGGCAAGAATTCTTTTGGGAAATGACATTGGAAAATGACACTTAACGAAGACATGGATGATACAAGCGTGAGTGCGGAAAGTTATTGTTGCCACAGAAGCCGTATAGCAACAAAATGAAAAACTTATTTATAGTTCAACCCTAACACCAAGTGAGCATACAAATGAGCTGTGCACTTTGATCAAACAAAAGAGTTTTTATGGCCTACCTTCTCGGTTTGAGATATTCGCGTACCCGAAGTGGAATGACCTTCCAAGGGTTTCATACTGGTCGCCTTCACTGAATAAGCACCTGGTGCACCATTGGCTATCCTTGGAAGGGTCGCATTTACTTTCGGTGGCTCTTCGACCAGACCCATATCAGTTTCCAAATAGACAAACTTCAAAAACATTGCTTTCCCAAGTTGTATCAGTCCGTCAGAAGGGACTAACATTGGACCGGTGATACGCTGCCCATTCACACGTACTTGAGCAGGTCCAGGAGGTCTGGCGAATCCGTCAAGGGATGGGGTGATCAGTAGCGAGTAGCTTGTCACCGCGTCAAAGTCACCTGGTTGTCCACTTTTTGGAATCGACCATTTCGAGCCACTGGTACTGGCCAGTACTGCACCGAAAGTGCAGTGAACTGGACGGATGTCAGGATGAAGGTTCTGAAAAACAGTGGACAGAATTGCGTTGCTTAACGAACGTGAGTTCCAAATAGTGTACGATTCTGGTGAGCAATGACCTTGAGGCATTTGGATGAGGGACAACCACATATCAAGAGGGAATTCCCCACAGAAAAGAAGAGATGTTTCCTTTCTGAATGCATCACACACTGAGGTATGGATAGTGGAAGACACCGATATAGACTCTCTAGTGGAGTGCTTCCCTGAGTGCACTATACGGGCATAAGTTTGGCCTTAACGTCAAGAACTCAGAATCCATCTGTTACCAAGACTCCCGGATTACCAACCAAGACATTGATGAAGCATGGAAGCGAGATAAACGACATCAATGTGATTCCTATTGGACGTCAGTTAACCAGCAAATAAGATATAGTGCGCTCACCTTATCAACGAGGATATTCGGTGGAGGTCCAACCATTTTCTCAATCGTTCCCAGCTGAATAGGAGCAGGATAGGTGCGATCGAATAGCCCTGCCAAAGAAATAACCATTCCATCAGGCCGACTGGAATGGTCCGTAGAGCTTTGCACTTCAATCAAATAAGGCACTGCTTCAGTGTCGGTAGATTCAGATGCGCCTGGACCTGCCGATCGTGTCCTAGAACCATGTTTGAACGCGGTTGGTGGAGCTCTGGGATGAACAGGAGCTGGAGCGGGTGGTTTGCGACCATCTTTTCCGGTCGCGCGACGGTGTCTGAGTTGGAAGATGCAAGAAATATCTTCCTTTTGGCGCCTCAACAGTAGTCGACTCCCAACCAGAGAATCTTGGTTGTGTAATGTTTGCTCACGTTCTACGTCCGGACTGCATGTGGAAGGAAAATGTATGACACACCGATGGAGTAAGGTATATGGTGAGATGTGTTTTGTGTGTACTGAAACACAAAGGGGTGATGATACATACCGCCAGTAGGTAACTCAAAACCTAGGTTGAAACAACTGACCAATAATCATAGAAACTGAGGCAAACATCTCCCGGCCAATCGTCGGAGGTTTCCACTGGATACAACTGAAGACGGGCTCAGACTCCGATTGTCCAATAAGCGGTGAGCATTTGTTTTAGCCGTTACAGCAAGTAAAACAACAGTTTGATTCGAACAGACAAAATCGGTTGAGGCAAACTATTCCAGAGCCAATCGCTATCAACTACACCTTAGAGTTCAAGTAAACATCTGAGTAACGGCGGACATTGTTGTTTGTGCACTACTTCGTGTACCGAACCGATTTT